GTACTAGTGATGATAATGCTCCCTTACGTAGTTCATCTTGTTTGGAGTGCTTCAGTAACCATTCTTTAGATCAATGTCAAAAGTATAAAGACTAGAATGTTAGAGAAAGGAATTCATTCTTAGACATAAGTTGAGTAATGTATGTCTGAAGGTAAACCAAGTAGCAAAAAACTGTCGATCGCCGAGGTCGTGTGCTGTCGAAGGGTGTGGCTGGAGACACCATACCCTGTTACATGAGTTGCGGGAAGAACAAAGAAATATTAATATTGATGCCTACAACACCACTTAGCTTTGTACGGAGGAAGTCGTTAAGTGTATACAGAGACCAGTAGCGTTTGCAGTAGTGCCTGTATGGATAAAAAATGGTGAGATTATTCAGACTTGCGCCTTTCTAGATAGTGGGTCAGATACCTCTCTCATAGTTGATGACCTAGCTGATAAGTTAGACCTCGAGGGGAAACCAAAAACGGTATCTTTAAAGACTCTTAGTAATGAATCGTCATTGTTATCCAAAGAGGTCGATTTAGAGTTGCACTCGATAGATTTTTCGTCATCCGTTAAGATCCAGAAAGTATTGACAGTCAAAAAATTGCCGGCAGTTTATAGGACTGTGCCAACGGCGCAACAAATGGTATCCTGGTCCCATTTAAAAGACATAAGTTTCCCGAAAGTAGAGGATGAGAACGTCAAACTGTTGATTGGGTGCAACGCACCGGGTGTACACGAGATGAAAGAGATAAGAACCGGGAAGACGAATGAACCATCTGCTGTGAGGACTATATTGAGTTGGACACTGTTCGGCCCTTACGGAGAACCCTGTGAAAGCAACCGTGTACAGAATTACCTCTCGGTTAAGGAGAAATTAGAGGATAAATTTGAACAATTGTATTCAGATTAATCCAAAGACCCACTCAGTCTTACTTCATCGATGTCTGTGGAAGATCGTATAGCATCAGAATCTGCATATGGTGTCGCGGACTATACTCGTTCCGAAAATGTCTCTCGTCAAGTTCATTGTTCCTTTTTATTAACTAAGTCGAAGGTTCTTAAGCCAAAAACTGAAGCACCATCTGCTAATAAACCCAAATCTACTCTGAGAAAGCCTAAGGAAAAGAAGGACACCAAACTGAAAGTCAAGACAACGAAAAGGCCGAAGGCCACTGTAACGAAAAAGCCAGTAACTAAAATCCTGAATAAGCTGGTAGCACATATTCGAGTGGTATCGAGGATGGTGTTGAGAAAGGTGCTCTTGTACGAGTTGTGAACAAGAGTAAGGGTGCATCTGGTAGTTTTACAGGAGCCAATGCTATTCTTAGACAGATCATGTGTAGTTGGAACCAGAATAAGACCGTAAATGCTCTTTTAGAGAGAGGTTGTGAATGGCGCTTTAAACTTCCGAGGGTCAGTCAATGAGGCAGTGTATGGGGACGCACCATAAAGTCGATAAGAATTCTGCGATCACTATTGTTTCAGAAGGTATTGATGGATGAGTCTTCGGCAGATTTAATGTTAGTAAACAATGTTAGCTCACCGAGAAGTCTATGGCCCAAAGCTATTGTCGAACAAGTAAGCTATGGCTCTGACGGACGAGCTCGTACGGCAAAATTGAGAACCACAAACAAAGAAACTGTTCGGGACGTACGACGCTTATGTCTACTGGAAGGAGCCGGCTGTCTGACGGCGACGACGACCCTGGACAACAAACGTGGTGCGCCTTCCGGGGGGAGTGTAAAATGTGATCGATAAACGAACCCAACAATAGTAAAGTGAAACGCCCACCACTTCACTAACTTTTCTTGACCTTGTATGACTGTGTCCTATTTATTCACCAATCACAATCCTATGTTTATTATGAAACAATATTTGCTTTGTTGACTCATTTTTCCCACTCTCTAGTTACTGTTCGGTACGTTGATTATGTCTCCGTTTTTCCCTGTTTATGGACTTTACTTTTGTTTTGTACACTAACAGTGTTAATTTACATTTTAGAAACAGATAAAGTTTATCGAGCCAAATTGCTTACTTGTTCTGACTTTGGCTGAACCAAGACTCTGTATTCGACAGTCTAGGGATTAGCTTAGAGTTGAATCTGTAGGAAATTGCTTCCTACATAATCATTGTAATACTCTTATTACTTTGATGCACCACCCACCTTTTAACAGGAAAACATGAGTTACAGTCAGCTGAACAGTTTATTTCAGTATTTGTAATGGAGAAAACTTATATTGTGCGGTTCGGAGGCCTAAGCATCACCTTACTGATTTATAATATTGGTTGATGCAGTTGTCGGAAACCTCTGAAGGCTAATTTGTGGCGTATCAAGCTTCTCATAATTGAACTTCTCTGTACTCGAAAATGCTCATAAATTATAAAAGTTACTTTTTCTGCAAACATTACAGTCGATGAGAAAAAGATGGGCAACTGACAAACTCAGGAGTGGCTCAAAACTTAGTCTCTGAAACTTAAGGGACGCAACAAGTTGACAATATTGTTAACCTTCGATGTTTCTTACTTATTGACCTTATTCATAAAATGGTAACACTAGATGCAACTGATTGTCATTTCATCCGTCTCAACTGTTCGCAAGAACACCATTGTCCTAGGATAATACTGTAACTGACGATACCAAGATTTTATGCAGCCGACGAGTGAGACCTGTGGATCTATGTACTACATTTTAGTTAGTTGTTTGAATAGGCCCTTTTCTATTGTTAAACCAATCAGTAAAGCTTGTCCAACCACTTCCCACTATATTCCAGGTTAATTTCACATGCATATATATATATATATATATATATATATATATATATATATATATATATATATATATATATATATATATATATATACCAAAAGTAAGGTGTCTACACATAACACATTAGGGATACGATATATAAGTAATTAACATTCGCGCTGTCCAGTGCTGTATTCTGGTCATCGTTGTATTGATCAACTCAATCATTTCTGTTTAAGATATAGTTCCAATTAGAGGATTCATTTCATTGAGATTGCGGCTGATAACGTAAGAACTTCTTATTCATTTAGTCCCATAGAAAACCATGACTATGTACACAGCTAATTAGCGTTGACGTTAATCCCACTCCTTAAATTCTTTGAAACATCTTAATCCGATAATACTGAAAGGTATTGATCCATAAGTTCGATATAAACTAAATCTTATTTGTTTCAACAATCTTATTCATCTAATACAGCCACTTCAATTTTCTAAACGAAATAAAGAATACTGAACAAATAGACAGAACACACCAAAATGATGGTGCAGTGACCGCCAAATAATAAATAGAGTTTACGGTCGAATATGTCCTAGAAGTTTTATTTGGGAGAGGGTGACCAAATAAATGTAATGGACCCCAACCGCTACCATTAACTATTTGAACAAGTGGCTTTAGACATTTTTTCATTTGTATTGATTTATCCAGTATGACATTAATTGGTCGATTTCAAGGCACTTTCATTGTAATTTTATGCAAAGTGACAAATACTGAGTAACAAATTTTGTAATGAATAATCATTGAATTTGGTCAATACATATTGATTTAACTAGTATGTAAATTAGTTTTCCTGTGTTCTCTATAAAAAAAATCTTCTACACAAACCTGGAATTCTTACTCAAGTTGGTCAGGAGAGAACGAGATGATAGAAGCAGTGTCATCCACCATATTGAAGTATGAGTTGAGAATAATTCACTTAGTGCACAAATATATACAAACGCAAAATTTCCATGGTATAAGGTCATGATTACAAACAAATAAACAGTATATAACAAGCTTGGGTACTGGACACACAATCTGTAGGCGGATAGACTGTTATAGTATATATATATATCAATATCATGACCTCTTATACACACATAGAAGTAATCTTATTAAAAACACACAATAAGAGAAGCACAATTATAGTAAAAAGAAGTAACTAGAAAACAAGACTAACAAACACCTTTCATATACAAGTGGATACTACTTTGGAAAGAAAACTAACAGATAAGACAAAGAAGAATAGTAGTAATTTAGAAAAATCAACTGGAAATCATCAGAATATACAACTCTAAGTGGAATTGTTTCTCTCAACATTTGAGAACACGTATACACTATAATTAATATTCAATTTATTTTTGGTATATTTTATAGATCAAAATGAGGGAAAAATAAACTCAGAGGAATAGTAACACTTGGCACACTTATTCACACACACACATACACACAAAATCTACTAGGTATAAATATTTTCATCAACTGCTCCTTAAATCCCACCAACCTTTCACCAATTTGTCACTTGTTCCCATAGACATAAATATACATTTTCAATAGAATAAATATAAAAGGCATAATCTTTCAACAAATTCATATACATAAATAAATTCATACATAAATAGATATACATGCATAGAGAAACAAATTCCATTGATAAAATACATGAATAAAATCAGATAGATAAGTAGATTTGATGGTAAATTTTGATCATTATCATTACTATCGGATTTAGTTTGAGTCAAAATAGGGAAAATAATAAAAATAATAATAATAATAATATGAAGAGCATAAATACGTACATGTATGAGTAAAAAACAAACAAACAAACAACAAAATGTGTATAATGAAAACGAAAGAAAGAAAGAAAGATGGAAGAAAGAACTGTACAATCACTATTTCTTTCTTTCTACATTGTGGTTTGTTCACAAGTAGTGAAGCGATAGGAAAGAAAGTGTTCACTTATTTCTGTAGTTTAGATTCAATAATTATTAAGCACCTATACAACATATCATATCATTGAAGAAGAAAAAAGAAAGTGTGCAAACATACCTCTATCTAACTACATACATATACAAGATATCTTTACAAAACAATGCTTCTTTTTTGAAGAAAAAACAAACTAAATGTGTTAGGATGTATAAACATGGAACAGTAATAAAAACAAATACTTCGTAATCACTATGATAAGTATATATGTGGTATCTGTTGTTATGCCAATGGATTAACTGACTATGAATAGATATGATGCTTTTTGCACAGCAAAATATATTGATCTCGATCCAAATGACATTCTAAAAGTAAATAGAAGGTTATAGGTTAATTTTCTTTTCTTTTTCTTTCTTGATAAACACAGAAAATTATTAATAGAGGAGATTGACTGGAGTGAGAGAATATAGGATAGATTTTTTATCAAAGAGGATTATAATGAACCTACAGTTCAGTAATGAATAAAACTCATACATTCTGATATCAAGTGGATTAAGATAATATTTACTCAAAGTCGAAACTTAGTATTCCACATTTTGTGAACTCAGTTTTTTTTAATTTAACGATATATTGAAATCAATCTGGTATGTTAATGAAAAGAAGCTATATTTTATCAGTCCTCTATTAGATTGGATTTGCAACATCGAAGAAGAATATCTTATTAGGATTGGACAATAAGATTAGCCCTGATTTAATCGAAAAATCATTGTTTGCGAGCTAAACAATGTTGCAGTATTTAATGATGCCTAGATTTTTTCCAATTACCGATGCACTGTACACGTTTCAACTAGACCGTTGAACAACACAAATGAATATATATTTCGATGGGGCCTTCGATTGATTATCTCGAAACGTTTAATATCAAAATTATGCCTCATACTTGAGTTTTATAAAACTAACTTGATTAGTATCAGAACGGGTTTTGTGGAGATTGTAGTAGTTTCAGTAGTTGAGATCATGAATTCGAATCACGCGAGACGTAGTCGTGGATGCGCATTGCTGAGGAGACCTACAATAGGACGAAACGGCCGTCCAGTGCTTTCAGATTTTCCATGGTGGCCTAACTTCAATTGACTCATGATCTCAACTATTGAAACTAACTTTATTGTCAAGCTCGCATTTGATCAACAAAAAAGCTAAAAAGAAATTTCCAGAAGATAACTAATTCATGTGAATATTTCAATTACTGAAGGAATTATACAATTGATTGTACGAATGACTGAGATAACAAATGCCATATGGACATAAACGAAAAAAATTAAAGGTATTAAATATAGGTTTTGTAATTGTGGTGGAATTGTACTATTTTACTGTCGTATTTTTTGTACCAATAATATTCTCGAATATGATGCACATCGAAATTCTCGGAATAAGTAAGTTACTACAATTCCACAACAAAAGATAGTGATGATCAACAATATACGGGTATGAGATATGGTGAGTAAAGTTGATAGAATACATTTTCCTGCCTATTAATAGTCTTTGAATAAATACTGTAACATCTATTAGAGTTGAATGAAAAACAGTAACGAAATGAAATTTTAAAAAAGGGAACTTTATAAGTTATCTCCGTATAGAGATTTAACCCGATAATCTCAGTGTAAACCAAGTTGAAAAAAAGAGTATTGATTTATAAACCAAAGGAAGTTGGGATGAAATCACTGAAAATGTCATTGCTAGAACTAGAGGAACTATGAACCCTTAAAAACCTTTTTAATTGTGTAGACTTTGTCTGTTAAGATATGTCTGCTGATCAGTTATCTAACATAGGTCAATGAAATGAATTAGTCAGTCACAGAGAACATAAAACCTGGGACATATGAGCATCGGTTGCCAAACAATATCAGCAAAGCAACAAGCCAAATACCCGAGTATAAGAAGTAGTAGCGATATCACGTGTAGTAGAAAATACCAGCCACAGACAATATGATTTGATAAGGACAAATTTGTGGGATAGGCAGCAAACGATAATCTTAAAACTGAAGATCTAAAGGAAGACAAGGAGAAAGTACATTAGCGCCATGTCATCCAAATGTCTCCAATCACTGGTTATGACAATCATGTGAATTTCAACCATGCATCTGACACTTATTAACTGTCAATGACTTCACTGACAGGCATTAAAAATTGGATTAGCCGCTGCTAGTTTATTTTCAACCTAATCGTAACTACAGCAAACATTTTCCGTCCAGGTTAATGCTAGTTCGGAATACATAAATATGTGTCTCAACTGCTTCTGTCGATGAAGATTCGCTAACATTTCAACCAAACAGCCTTGAAATTAGGATAAGTGTTAGTGTAAAATTTCTTTTCGTAGAATTACTAATTCATTCATTTACTTGAAATATGGAATATATTACTGACTGGACATCTCAATATTTTCAGATAAGTAATTAATTTGATAGTAAAGTTAAAAATGGGCATTATATGGTTCAAGATCCATGAATAACACTTACGTCTTGTGTTTATTTACCTTCTACTGAATGCTAACTCTACAACCATTAAACTTAATTACTATGATAAATCATAGAAGTGATTATAGTTGATGGAAATAACAGTTAAACACGATGAGATTATTATCACAACTCAGTAGTTGACTGGAGAGATTTTTTCATGTTTGAAACTGTTAGTAATACGTGTAAATATTACTTGCAATATAAACCCAAATAGACACAAGAAATAAAAATTCAAACAAGTAGAATGAAATGTTCATCTTGGATTCTGGTGGTAAATAACCCTTGTCGAATTATATGTACATCTGTTTATTGAGTTCATTTTATTATAGCCAGTAGATTCGAACCAATGAATAAACAAGTGATTAGGGAAGAAGAAGAAAACTAAAAAAGACATTTTCATCAAAGATAAAGTATTTCTAATGAAATTACAACAAAAATCTATTATTCTAAAAAATGATTGAAAGGAATGGGAAAACCTAGCATACTACATTACAGGGTCTAAAAAATTATCGGAAATATTATTATAGCTCAGAATTTTGTTTAAACACCTAACTTTACTCTCTTACCAGCTCTATGTGCGCATTGATAATGATAACTCAAATTGCATCCTCGATTACAACAACTTAGAATTGCTCCAGGTCTTTGACAATGTGAACAACGCTAAATAATTGAAAATAAATGAAATTAATTAAACAGAATTAAAGAGTTTTATTTTATAGGATAGAATTAAACGAAGTTAGATTGTTTTGGAACTGTATCTTCGATGCCTAAACTTCCGATTACCACTAATACTGTTACTACATCTACCACTTTGATAATTACACTAACGATGCCATCTGGCTGTGCCAATGAGTTATGGCAGCCTGGACAGATTTATATAAGTACCCGTTCTATGTTGTGTTTGACTGATTGAATTCGTCGAAATAACAATTTTATGTGTAATTAAATCTTTTCTATACTTGTTAACTCAATTACTAGATACAAACTCATATACTTGGGGCCGAGTCACACACACACACTCCAAGTGTGACGTTTAGTGAGACTATCGGGCTGTGTAAACTGAATGCAGTCATCATCTATGTAGAGACTCGGACGTATATGCGCTAGTCAAAGCCACCATATCACATAAGCAGGACAAGATGAATAGTATAGTAACTGAAATAATGTGGCAGTATTGATAATAAGAAAGGATAAGGACTGAGAAAATGGTTAAAAAATGTGAATGAAGGAAGACTGGAATTCAAGACCTAAAGGAAGATTAAAGGTGAATGTATCTGTGCCGTTAACGCCTATCCTGAGGCACACCACACGAAGTGTCCAACCACTTGATTGTAGTGACCACCCAGACACTAACCAGATAGTTTGTATCTACCTATGTGGATCGGTTGAATAGCCAATGACTTGATGAACTGACGGAGTCATGGTTTGGTCCCCACTAACGTTTTTTTTAATTTGCCCGAACTGAAGTGCGGTGGGGTTCGGATCAGGAACGTAGTGGTTGGAAGTCGAATGTCTTAACCATTGGGTCACTGATTCAGTATATGTAATAAATAGAACTAACACACAAGTCACGTAGGGTTATAAAAAATACAGAGAGGATAATATATAAAACTAATGATTGGTAAAAGCGTAAATTCCCCATGAAAATTTTCAGCTGAGTTGTGATTATTCAAGAATTGCGCTAGACAGTTTATAGGTCACTGACAATTCAACTTTATCTATGCCTTCGAATGACACTTGTTGTTGAGTTTTCAAATATATACAAAGTTGGTCAACGATGACATCAAAGAAATATTACTGAGTAAAACTGTTCCAATGGGAATTCGCAAGAATGTTTCACTAAACAGAGCTATTTATTGTTATAGTGGGTTTTTTCCAGGGAAGAGCTTGTGGCTAAATATAAAGATATACACGACGTCTTACTTTAGTGATCATACGCGTTTTATAATGTACCGAATGTGATCCCGTTCAAATACTTTATAAGAACATGCAAGTTACAAATCATTGTAACCATCAGATGATCTTTTTAAGATGAGATTTCACCTTGAAAATATACCTTTTAACATATTAACGGGCAGACATTAGGCCAACAACAACTACGATCGCATAATCGTGGTGGGTCAAATAATAGAAAGTCTTTTTTAATAACTTGAGAAGAGAGTGTTAAGTAAAGTTTGGAGGTTAATCGAATTGACTAATGGGTGGCAACCATCTACAATGATTTTGCATCTAAATCAACGAGATGATTTTTCACGAGTCTTCAGTAAAGACAAAAAAATCGGTTGATTATGCAGTGAGATTATGAGTTAAGGACAAAGGATGTCCACAATGAAATAAATTTTAAACTTTGAAGTAATTATATGGTTAGAATACTCCTGAAGAACTAGGATAACAATAATTTGTGAAATTGATGTAGATATGTCACTGCTATTCTTGTTGGAAACATAGAGCGGCTCTACTGAATAAAATACAGTGAAATTTCCATTGGATGTAAATAAGACAGTTTGTAAAATTTGATAATTCCATGTATCGATTAAAAAGGTGTTTATTGTCACAAAAAAGTATTCTACACATATATGATCAAAGAGATTACACTGAGTGTCGTAGAAATAAAACTTACTGCATTAAGGGCTAATTGTAATGCATCACCAAGACCGCCAATAACACCATTTCCGTTCACGTAAGTGCCAGGAGCCCAAAGTACACATTCAAAATGAAACCAGACTTCACCGTTCGATCCTACTCTAGGCCTGCAAGAGTTTGTTATCTTAGATAGATCGGGTGAATTTTTTGTCGGAGAGTGATCATTATTTATCGTACTATTTGAAGCTTTGATAACTAGGCGAAGAAAACCAGTATTAGCAGCTGTAGGACGCCCTTGGGCTGCTGCCGATCGTGTAGTAGTCGAAGTAATTACACCAGAACGAATTGCCTTTTCTATACTTCTTGCACGTCTGGATACAGGAGTCATTGGTGTATTAGACTGAGTCACTGTATCAGGAGACTGATATTCATTAGTGGAATCATAGATGAGCTCTGAAGGTAATTGCTTCATATCTGCTTCTGTAAGCCAATAGGGACCATATAAACAACCAATTTCAGTATAATTGTTATCTTCACCACAGAAGGCACATATCCAAAGGCTATTAGGATTTACTGAGGTTGGGAACTGATAGTCACGTACCCGGAGAGGTCCTGAAGGTCTATATGTAATACCTAAGGTGAAAAATTTATATACACATAAGTTGTGACCTGCACAAGTTACGTACACTGTTACGAAAACGATCTAAATGAAATTTATGCTTACCTGTAAGAATACTACGAGATTCCATGCCGACGTCATGTTTATCAAGTTTGATTGATGCGCTTCCAGTTAGATTAGCTTTGAATGGACAACTAACAGGCATGGTACAATGAGAGAAGTATCCATTAACTTGTTGAACAGACAAGTCACGTAAAGCTGGGTTAATTATATGGGCAGAAAAAGATGAATTCATATCAATCAACTCATTATTAGTTGTTGAATTATTACAGACTATTTTAGATCCAGAAGGAATGCAATTGTATTTAGTGAAGTTGTCTGAAGTTTTCATAAGACTAGAAACTGTTCCTCCAACTTGGCAAAGACATAAAAAGGGTGATTCTAAATACTTTCTGCGCATTGCAATATCTGCACTGGTCCCACCAGGAGTGTCAGATGTAACACCAGCAACAGATCTAAAAACGATTGAGAATAAACTCAAATTAAGATATTACAAAGTGAAATGTTTTCGATTGTTGGATGATCTTGCTTTACAAATAAAGGCATTAATGACATTAAATGTCTATGAACTTCAATAAAAATTCGGAGATTTGAAAATTTTAAATTGATAAAACTAAGGAAATGAAACATACGAATGAAAGTATAGTTATAATATAGACTAGTCTGTTCTAACAGATTTTTAATGTAATTATCAATTCTTGTTATCCAACGAGTGAAAGCATGCAGTGTGGATATATCAGCTTTATTTCATTTGATATATCAGGTTCCCGAATAACTAGTTCAATAAGACCTGGAGGAACTTAAGTACACGCTAAAGTTATTCCACTATCACAGATCAGCCTTACAAAGTAGATGTAATGAAAGTAAGAAAATTTCTGTGTACTGTCTGAAATTGTTTGTGTTATCTTGTGAAGTTCATTTATTCTTTAGCTTTAAATTCTAGGATTAGTGTTAACATTATTTTACATTTTCCTTATGGTGGTCTACAACGTATTAAACATAAAACTAGTAAGCAAAAATAATAAGGCACACTTATACGATAAACTTGACAGAATAAAAGCCACAACTAGTCCTGAACAAATACATTATATATTATTATAAAATTAAATATTTATGTAAAAAAAACATGCACACATATGTTTGAAACGAGTGAAAAAACCCACTTTTTATTGCTGACTTTTTGTTGAACCCGACGAATAAGAGCTCTGGCATCGGCTCTACCACGAGATCCACCTGCTTGAGACTGGGAAAATGGCTCGAAATCGGAATCAGAATCTCCTCGAATTTTTCGTGATTTAGGTCGACGTCTTGATCGGGCTGATGTTTTTCGTTTTGTTGCTACTTTAGACTTTTCATTCAATACATTCGACTTAGTATCCTCATTTTTAACAGACGAGTCAGCTTTGAGGGGTTCATCAACCTTCTCTGGGGAGTTTTCTTTACTATTTGATGAATGGATATGATTCTCTAGAACCAACTTTGGAAGTCTTGCATCTTCATTTTTTAAAGGTGAATCAGTGTTATTTGCGCGAATTATTGAATTTTCGCCAACTGGACGTCTTGGTGAACCAAGAACAATAGAAATTTTTTCCAGAATTGGTAAACCATTAGCAGAATGGTTAGCCTCGTTCAAAATCGAGGAAGAAGATGTAGACGAAGATGAACTACTGGAACTAGACATAAACATATCGCTTGCTATCCTTGGGCAACTAGAATTCGGTGGTTTACTCAGAATTTGAGATGCATGTTGATTCATTTTAAATGCACCCCTGGGATGAGAGCTTTTCTCGGAAGCTGATTGAGATGAAATGGATGAAGGACCTCGAATTTCAGCAACTATGATTGGAGGAGAAGGGGAGGAAGGTTGGTTATTTTGGTTGTTGCTCCCATGAGTAGGAGAGGAACTAACGGGAGATAATGCTGGAGGCGGTGGGGAGCTACCACATGAATGACACTGAGAATAATCCGTAACCAAATTCTGTTCCATTGAGACAGTGAGACTAGGAAAGCAGGAATCAACCGAACAATTGGGGAAAGTGGAGATAGACTTATTGAAACCATTTTCGGAGCATAAAAACCCGTGATTCGGAGTATTCGGTGGATAATTTGATCGATTTTCAAGAGCATGAGTAGTTGTGGTTACAGTGCACGAAGAGTTAAGTACACGCAAACTGTCACGCATGACGTTAGGATTCAATCCAGTATTTCTACCGACTAGGGAGTTACGACTTGACGACTCATTCATTCTTTGGAGGAGTAAGCATAATTATTCATTAAGCTCTCTGAAACCCATCTTAGAGATTCTGCCCCGTTTACTGAGAAATTACTATAGTTAATGGAATGATTTATGCTTTCTTTTCCTGACAACACTATTCAGGGAAACATAGAATGAGAGTAGAAAGAGATGGTAATCCACTCGTCTAGTATAATCTGCAAAAGGAAAGAATAACTCTAATAAATATTGGTAGTGGAGGTCAGTAATATGTGAAATTTAAAACAAAATCCCGTAAAAATTCCCGCACCTTAAAACTAATAGTGGATTGTTGAACTGACGATACTACATTTGTGAATATTTTGGAAGGTTAGGATCAAGATTAGAGTAGTTACGAATATTACAATGCAGTGAAGCAGTAAGATATAAAGTTGGGCTGAGTGTAATTAACCCAGAAGACATTCTAAACATGTAGCTTTTTGGATGATGGAAGACAAACTTCTATTATATACCTCATGATATAGGTTACGTCAGAACGTACTATAAACAAGCAAGGATTTCACAAAACACATAATCAAAGGGTTTGAAATTATTAACATGAACCAAATCTTTTCGAATAATTAAAAAGAGAATAGTCTGTGAAAGCGCTTTTTGAGATAAGGTAATTAGTAGGGACAAGTTGAGTATTGTAGAAATGAACTCATCTATATCGAGTAGTAAAGGGATCCCAAAATCATGTGCAATATAAACGGTGACAAAATCTCCACCCTAAGCTGACGCAAAGGCATAAGTAGTGGACATTAGGCACACCGGATTTGTTGGCGTTCCGGGGAGTGCTATTATTGGACGTAGTGGAATGTTTGGTTTGTGTATTTTGGGTCTACCGTAGAATCGAGGGAGTACTGGTCCACAATGTACTAAATACTCAATTAATTTAGTTACATAGTATGGTTTGAATGTGAAAATCCAAAATCGGTCATGTGTGGTCCGTACTTTCCTCAGAAGCTAAACGTCAAACATGCAGATTTTGCAGCATTATCAGGTTGTTCACAACTTCCGGCGATCAAAACTAACCTGGAGACTGGGAAGTTTAAAAACAATCTAGGTTTTGAAATGTGAAAAATAACAAACTCGAAAGTATATTGAATTACTTTACTGAGTTGTGTTGAGTTTGTGTGGTGCCTCGAAACACAAGGACCACGTGGGTGTATTCTTGTTATCTGATGAAAAGATAGTGACCTAACTACAAATACGTGGCAGAAGTTAGCAAGATGAAAACGATCCTTGTACATGAATGCACAATTCCAACCTGACAGCTAAACCACCTTTACTGAGAATGCCCTGATCAACAGTACTTAAAGTTCTAGGTGAACTTACACTTTAAGGAGTAAACAGAGGCATTTTGTAATGAAAAAATTGAAGACAGAAAACAAAGAGAATTAAAAGAATATAAATAACATACTACGATGGTATGACAGTAGCACACGAGTTATTTTTTAAGCAGACGCACATAAAAATTACTGCTTATGTGACGAAAAAGATTTCTAGATGAAATGTATCAGTTTCGTACCAAATAAAAAAAATTAACGGCTTTAAAGCCGTTAACAATTGTAAAGTATGAAAAGAGTAACATGATTACATCAGTCAATATTGAACTAAACCTACAAAAAGATCCAGGATGAATTATGTGAATATATATCTGCGCGAGATTGACTATCAACAAGTAATCGGTACTGCTATGTAAGGAAGTCGTTATGAAACACAAACAGTACTCGCGCAATAGATGTGGCCGCCACACAATTGGCGCGTGACCTAGACTGAACTAAAACAAGCACTATGTCAGAAAGGCAAAAAGTGAAATTTTCGATATTTCTCGAATCCTCCGACTGAATATAATTGGTTCTACTACCAGGATATGTATGACTAGTTTAACGTTTACATGCAACGTAAGAAAAGTTACTGTGAAATAAAAAAAATTAATTGACGTAGCTAATTAGGGAAATGTTGTTTTTTATTCCTAAAAGTCCTTCTAAAAGCTATGAATTGAGAAAATCGAGCAAGTTAAAAATTATCTATTCCTTTATTGTTTTATTCATTTGTGGACCATAACGGGTTACCAAAATAATTAGGTGTGCTATTTAATGACAGTGATATTTTTTATTTTTGAGAAAATCTTATTACTTTGATCGTTTATTACTTATCAAGACTACTGTCTACACTTTAATTTAGTTTATTTCAGTTAAGATACCCTATGAGAGTGTCATTCTTGCTTTTAAAATTGTTTATCGTCTGCATTTTAAGTACTTTGTTTTCTATTGTATTTGTTAGTTTTTTGGTTCTAACAATTTACAGTTTACCACTTTTTCGGCCATATATCACTTTTGTCCCTGGGTACTGTTGTACCTAGTTTTATTGAAAACCTCTTTTTGGTAATTGGACAGTTCAAGAAAAGTAATTGCCAACTTCCGGGCTGTTGATATCCCGTTGAAACCGTCATGTAGCACGATGAGTGCGAAGACTGGTACTACGACGTTTGCACGAATTCGGCGTCTGCCGCATTCAAGTGGTTTAGTAAAATCGGTTGCGTATGGCTTTGCAGGCAGTGATGCTCCAACGCAAACAACTCGATAACCGAGGTCATTTCAATGGTGCGTTAGCGAAAGATGTCGAGATATATCTGATAGCACTCTCTCTGTCGACGCACAAATTGATTTAAAGTCACCTCGCATGAGCTCATAAACAACTGACTCACAGCAATCAAATGAGAAAAGCCTGTCTACAAAAAGGTCTGTCCTAAATAAAACTCCAGAAAGGACGTTTCTTCTGTCCCACGTCCTCTAAATTGTTGTCGTCAGGAAACACCTAAGAACTGCTTTGGCAAGGCTCAATCTACTTTTAGTAGGAAACACAACCTGGCTTCCAAAGTCTTCAATAACCTTACGGAATCGCACCATGTTTTTGACGCGACTGTGGTTTCTACTCTTAAGAAAGTTGATGAATGGGTACAGGTCGTAAACAAGAAACGGCATAACGATATAAATGAAAATCCAAACCCCTAAAATGTATCCGAGAAATTGAAGACTGATCACAGTGACAGGTCAGTTATTTTTTATAGAAGTAAGGAAAGTGAAAGCTTTGAACCTAAAACTCGTTTTGAGCACGACATTGGGTTGATTAAACAACTTCTAAATCAGCTTATGCCTCAAAATATCTCAGGAGTCACCTTGCTAAAGGTGTATAGACTAGATAGTCAAACGAATTAGGGCCCATAGCCATGTCGACGCCAAAACGTTTTTGACTTTGTATACAGTGTTCGTATGTCTTAAACTTGGGTACCGCATACAAGCGGCTAGCCTCTGCTCATAAAGGACAGTGAGCCATTGAAAATGGTTCAGAGAACAGCAACTATGCTGATTCTCAGAATAGCGAAGCTTCTGTATGGTGCTCGACTAGCTAAACTAAACCTATTCCCGTTATCGTATCGAAGGACTAGAGGTGACCTGATTACAATTTTCAAATTACTTAGTGATAAATTTGCACCTGATATGCCCTCATTTTTTTTGTCTTATAAAACAGAGAATTTACGAGGACACTCGATTAAAGTTCACGAGCCCAGAACAAATTACTTATCAGATGACTATTGACTTTCCCACTGATTTATCAACGAGTGGAATTCATTACCACTGCATGTGATTGAGGGTCCGTCCGTCGACTCCTTCAAAAGAAAAATGGATCAACTGAGTAACCATGATTTCCAAGACTAACACAGGCCATCAAACCTCCTGTCCTTCCCAAACAAAAAAACCGAAACTGATCTTGTGATCAGAATTCGCTCGTTGGGATGGTTGGCTTGAAAAATCTTAAGCTGGAAGGTTGATTTTTCATCTTTTATCGTAACTCTTTATTCCTTTAGAGCCGTTTTTACTATTGTTGTACCATTTCTCGCAGACTCGCATCTACATCAAAACGTGTGTACTTGTTTCTTCATTTCAAATTTTGTTGTCCTCAGCTTGGTTAACTGTCTTTTAAGTGTTAATGCACAATTTTTCTTCAAAGAATTAAAAACCACAATAGCATAGACCTCAGTTTCACCTGTTTCAAGCCTTTCACGAGAAGACCTGAGTGAAAAATAGCATTAATGCAGTTAACACTGGAGCTTTAGTATTAGATCTTCTGGTATACATTAATGGTGTAATGTAGATGTATCAAAGTGATCACCACGCTTTTAACTACAGTCGCTTGATTTTTTGTAAAATAACGGTTAAAGCTAATGCAAATGCACAAAAATACGGAAGATTTTGAAGTGAACCATTATCCGGTGAATACGTTGTAGCAGTAAATAAATCCACAACATAAATGGCTCTGTAAGTTTTCGACATTGGATGCTGACCACATTAGATTTAATGGACTCATCAAGCTGAAGGCGCTCGGTCATGCATCCGCACCAGATCACCTGGGGGGACGCCGTGCTCAACAACCCCTGCAATCGCTAGCCATATTAGATCAGATGATGCTCGAGATATTGATAGATTATCAAATATATCTTCGAATCTTCTCGCTTCTGTCTTTTGATTTCACTTGGTAGGTGCGATTAATATTAGGTGTTACTGCTTAAAGCGTTGTCAAACTCCAAATACCCGTGTCATCTTCAACGTTATATATCTTGCAAATGCTCTCTTAAGGATAATGAGTTTATTTAAGCTTTCATGATGGCGATTATTATTTGCAGGCCGACATCGTGACTGTAAGATCTGATCTGCTTACGGAAGAAATTTATGAACAGTTCCCCAAATCCCGTACTCAGTCTCAGCGGACCTATAGTTTGAAAGGTAACTACAGATAGACCCAATCGAAATTATCTGTTTCTAGGACGTAAATTACTTCCTTTAGTACGAAGACATAAAATAGTTCAGTCAATTACTACCAAAAAAACATGTCTACCTAAAGGTGAATAGGAATAACATAATGGATCATCGATATGGTTAGTCTTTAGTGGTCCGAGATCTAACTTCAGTTAAATTGTTTGGTTGATTGTTATTGAAATACACATATCGACTATCCTCGTATGCAATAATTGACTCAAATCGCGTTAGTGAACAATGGAATCAAATACGTCAAATACGAGAATTGATTTTTTTTGATACATATATATTGTACACATGTTGATCTGGACAGACAATCAAAGGAACGAAGAGAAATGACGTGGTAGAGAAGGCGTGTAATCTGATTTCATTTAATCAAGCGTCAATCGACATTTATCGTCACACAAAAATAAGTAATAGATATATGATGAGTAGGATAAGATGTAAACACATGCTCATATAGAAACAGTCAGGTTTGATAAGTGAATAATTAACAAGGTCAAAAGGTGACTCAGGAAGAAAAGATAAATTGGCCTTTTTAGAATTTAGAATAAGTTATGTGAAATTATCATAGCAAACGACATTGAAACTCAAGTTCATCAATGAAGCCTGTGTGACTTCATGATTTATAGTAAAATAAAGAAGATAATTCTGTTGATTAGTTTTAAGAAGGCGTTTAACTGACATGTTATTGGTTGGCTTTTACTTACTGATTGGGATTAACGGTGGTTTTGGTCACGTCCCTTGATCTTAACGCACATCATTTGTATGAAATTCCGAACTGCTGAGAAAGATATATATATATATATATATATATATATATATATATGTATAAACTTTTACTATATTTTGGGTCTTACACCCTGATCCTTAAGTAGAAGTTGATGATTTTAGCATCAGTCATGAGGTTAGAAATTGTGTAGATGATTTTTTTGGTAATAAGAGGAAAGTGATGAGAGTGAACGCTGCGCTATTGTGATTGAAATATGTAAAGAGTAAAGGTGCCAGTGAGGTTTCATCTTCATTCCTGTTAGACATGGTTGTCCTACGAGGAGTAGGAAAAATCCTCCGTTCGTTTACTTAGGGATGACATCTAAGCATGCACACTCGTACATATTGTGACTTATAACACAAGACTACTAGAGCATTCGAATGTTCTGGCTGTATTGACAAAAATGATCAGAAATAATAGTGATAAAAGATAAATTTTTACTAGCCGGTCGATCAGATGGTTTACATGACTATCATAAATGTTTCGGTGTAGAACCAGTGAAATGTCACAGAGCCTCAGCCGAACCATAGCACAAGCATGTTAATAAATGTCGATTAGTTAAGCTAAGGTGCAGAGGCAGAGGACTCGAACGACACTTTATTTTGCTGACCTTACCTATGACAGTAGACACCTCAAGCTATTTCCCCCTGTCTTGCTGTGGATTGTGAGGTAATATAACACTTCTTCGTGCCGTTGTGTACCCCTCGTTCTATTTATAAAAGACACTAGGCTATTTCAAATAGGTCTGTAGTTAGATCGAGGGACAACACATAGCAGAGCGCGAAGCTACCTATTCCAAGCACAAAGTTTTTCAACGTTCAATGTTCAACAATAGAATATATAATCCCTAAACATGATAAAGAATTGAGTGAATTATTGAGCTTTAATATTTTAACGTTTGCTTAGATCATTTTGGTCAACTCTTAGACATTCAACCTTAGTTGTTACAAATTGCTTCCCTCATAGTCTATTGCCTATCCTTCTTCTACACTTGAGACTGATCGTCCAGAATGGGATTGTTGTATGTTTGAAAACCGTAGATATATCGTCTGTCTGTAGTTTCGTTTCTCATATTAAATGCAAAATCTTAAAATTCTTAGCCGAAACGTGCAGTATTAGGACATTTTGTTGATATGTTCAAGATTGAATCTTTGCAGCACAACAAATCATGAGGATTGACATAGGTCACTACTTTATAGCGGCAAATAAATCCCTCAAAATAAATAGTTCTGTAAGTCTCCGATATTTGACAATAACCACACTAGTTTTACCGGACTCACCTAGCTGAAGGTGCTTGGTCTTTCATCTACACCAGATTGCGAGCGGACACACCGTGCTACACATCCCTTTCAAATGTTAACCAACCTAGATCGAACACTAGTTGACATACCGATAGCCTTTCAAATATATTCAAACCCCTTCATTTCTGACTTCTGATTTGACTGGATTGACATACTTTGATTATAGAGGTGCCACTGGTAAAAACATTGTTAAACTTCAAATCCTTGTGCCATATCCGGCTTATAAAATCTTAGAGTGAAGAATAATATAACTGTTTAATAATCAGTTATTCCTCCTGTAAGTTTATTTGCTCATATAAAAACGTTAAACATACATTCTTTTATTCTCGTTCCAATCTAATGGGCATAAAACTGAAGTAACATTCGTCCTGACATTTTTGCAATAGATTTGAAGGTCGTACAGCAGAGGCAAAATATGTTTGTACGCTACACACACTAAAGTTGTCTTCACATCCGCTCCTAGTCTAACTAAAGAACTTATCGCCAAGAGATGCCAATCTACATGTATCCAGCTATCGCTGCTCCCGAAAGGCATTCTGTTGATTATGTTTCTCAGGGTCAACCAGAGGGTTCAAGCATTCAGCAGGGTTCTGCCGTTGTTCCTGGAGAAATAGTTTTTTCTTCTGTTGCAAATCTTATAACTGGCCATGGAACTTATAGAAGTGTAGATGTTTCATCTACGGATATTGATGAAGATTTGTCCTCCACAGTTAATCCAAACACTTTGGCATCTGTTAATGGAGATCCAGGGATACAAGCAGGCAATATACACACTTCTCTAACTGGGCGTGTTAGGATAGTTAATAAACTCGTATATGTAGAGCCACCTAAGGCTCGATACTTCGGTAATGTTGGAGATACTGTAGTGGGCCGCATTGTAGAGGTTAGTTTCATGACTTTGTTGAAGTAATCCATAAATATATCTTTGCTTCGTTCATTAAAGCAACTTATTATTGTGAGGCTCAACAACCGATTGACGTCACAACAAATGCGTTTTTATTATGTTAGTTAGTTGAAGGGAATCCACTAGTTTCATTGTTCTGGTTACCCATCCTTAAGTAATTGAGTGAGATCTTATGTACCTGGTTTTAAATCACTTTGCTCACCTCAGTAAATTCTGCTTTGTTTCGTGAAATATATTCCAAATCCTCCATTTACGTAGGTCGAATTGTACTACTTAACATTTCAAAAGTTCCGTATTGTTACTCATAGGCCAGAAATAATCACTACGTCCAATAAATGTCAAGTAAGTTTAATTCAAAGCTTCTAAACTAGTAAAAACTACAAATGATTCTCTAGTGTTTTTATGTTAGTGTTAGCTCATCACAATCCTGTGATACCAGTAAGTTTTTTCTGATAGCCGTAATTGTAAACAGTTTGTTTTCGATTACAAGATACTACTGACATGTTAAAAAGTACTCGAATCATTAGCCTAAAAGACGAGATTTAATAATACGAGTAGTTAAAATTTGAAATAATCACAAATTTTACTTGAAATTAATAAACATGCAATAATATACTGTAGCCAAATAAATTTTTGGGACGCTTTCATCAAACTTTCGGTTTGTCTAAAAAACGATTAGGTTATCTACTTTTTAAGTTTCTGTAAGTTAGTTTTAGTGTGATGATTCTAATTGATTCCCTATTCTCATATGTAGTTCATTAGCTATGAAATTGCTGTCTTTGTGATAGGTGTTTTCGTCATGGATAATCACTATTTTGCAGGCTTTTTAATGTACATACGAGTATAACGTGTGAAACAGAGTATATACCATTTTCCCTCACTTGGTTATTTAAGGTTGAACAACGTCGCTGGCGTGTTGATGTCAACTCTGCTCTCCTAGCCAATCTAGCCTTGGCTAATGTGAAACTACCTGGTGGCGAACTTCGTCGGAAATCTGAAGATGATGAACGGGCTATGCGTTCTTTTATGAAGGTATGAGCTGACCTTATAATTGTTGAGTATGGGGAAGTTTTGCTGGTAAATAAATTGACCATTAGTTTCATTTAAATCCTTTTGACGTATAATTTTATACCATCGATTCGACTACTTTTGTCTGTCAATAAACCTGGAGTCTATTGGTATGCAGATGACCACTGGAATTTCAGTTCTAAAATGTATCAGTCGTCCCTAGAAACTTTAACAATTTTTAATGTATGCATTTCACTTATTAACCGAAAATATGCTTGATAAAGACTGACACTTTGAATTCGGCAATTACAATGATGGCATTGAATAGTGGCTGTTGTTATACCCTTATTACTTAAGATACAACTGCAATCAAATTTATGTTAGGTTTACTACGTATGTCTTTACAATGTTTACAACATTCCATTAATTCTTTTTATCTTAGAAAGTATTTTTATGTCAAGTCCGAAAAATTCTTTTTTTCAGCAAATATACAAACGCAAATAGTCAAGTTTGTAGAGCAGTGTTTAACAATGTCCGGATTCGAGATTTAAACATTTTATGGCTTATTTAAAGCTGGAGACACTCGACTAGAATCTAGTTTAGTAGCACTGAAGTCTTTACTTGACATTGTGTTTCAGCAACATTTAACTCATCAATGTGTGTTCATAGTATTAATTTTCTACGTTGGTATTTTTTGATACATCTTTGCGTTTTTTCAGGAGGGCGACCTTATTGTCGCTGAAGTTCATGAAGTTTACAAAGATGGAACATTACAGCTTCATATGCCGGGTACCAGGACCGGCAAACTGGGAGGTGGTTGTCTTCTGCGTATTCCTCCTAGTCTTATTAAACGTCAAAAAATACATCGTCATCGTCTAGCGATTCCAAGAATCGATACACTTGATGGTCCTATAACAATATCTAATGAAGTTATTTCTGTTGGCCTCATACTTGGCTGTAATGGATATATTTGGACAGGCCCAGCGAGAGCTATGGATATTGGTCTTGGTTTGTCAGCTCCAGTTGAAGCAGACTTAAATACAGCTAGTGAAACGGAATTATTAGCTGAACGTATTGCAGTTTCTCGTGTACGTAATTGCATTTTAGCTCTCACACATAATGGAATGCCAGTATGGGAAACAAGTGTTCTTGCTGCATGTGAAGCTAGTTGGTCAGCTGATCAACAAAATGATGATGATGATGAGTATCAACTGGAATTCGAAACTAGTATCCATAATGACCCTTCGGGTAGTAAAGCTCGTAATCGCATTGCTCGTCTATTGCATCCGGAAGTTGCACGTCGTCTTGTTACGCTTGTTCAAGCAAAATTAAAATCTGATTACTAACTGTACAAAAATAGATAAAAATACCTTGTAAATAAAAAAAATTTATTTTTATAGCTACTTGGTGGTTTTTATCCTAGATTAACATATTGTAATCTGGATAATTTTGTGATTGTGGTTTATTTATACTATTTAGTTTTGTGTGTTTATACATGTTCAAATATGATCATCTGCGGTTAAATGTACAAATCTGCACAATTCGATATTTTGCAAATAACGAATAGGCCGAAAGTTTGTCAATTATGTATACCTGTTATATCAGGTGATTGAATTCAAACGATGGGTGTCTTTAAATCAAGGTGTTTTCGCTCTTGTTCGGATAGACGAAATTAAATATAAAGCTAGCAAAACAGTTCAAACTATCGAGCTCTGGCATTTATCAGGGTAGTTAACTTTCCTCATTTTTATTTACTTTTATCATGGATGTAACTCACTATCTAATTTCACTGCGAGTTATTTACTACTAGCCCCCAAATGTCCTAGTACGGTCGAGGGTGTGAAAAGTTAGCTCTACCTCTCGAAATGCTCTCATATGGCCACGTGCATACAACCACTGCCAGGGAAGTTCTACTCATTGCCTTCTCCCAACATTACTGTTGTTTACGAAATTAAGAGGACGAAAATAGAATATCCGGCGCTTTAACCGGGTTGTTGGATATGGAGGATCCACCTAGGGAAGTTGAAAAACCCTGATTCCAAACCAATGGTGCACATGGGCCCCAGTATCCTGAAGGAACAAATTGTTGGTCACTGGCTACCATGGGACTGCATCTCCTAACGTTGCTCCATTGCCTTGTGGATTGGACCTTTATGTTAAAGGCTCCGGGTGTGGCCTCCTAAGAAAACTACCTGCATCGGTTTGGGCACCTGGGCAGTATCCTAGTCCTCACGTAAATCGAGTGATTTATGTGGCACATATCTGTTTGGTGCCTCCTTGTACTAACGTTTACGTGTTTAAATAAAATAATAAATGAAGGAAACTCGTTGACTTTGAATTTGCACTTAGCATAATCCTGTTTGTTGAGGACTTTAACAATCCATAGTTTTGTGAGCGCTTTAAGTAACAATGCTAGAATTTCTGTCCATTGAACTACAGTTTGTTGTTTCTGGACTAGCATGTGTCAATGTTTAATTCAGCCATATAGAGTGAACTATTTCATGTCGACTACTTCAACTATTTTACAAGCCTCATCGATCCTGTTCATACATACAATGGACTCGGTTTCTTCCTAACTTACATCATCTTTGGTGCAAGATGTTTATCTTACTAGAGTTTGTCCTGAAACACTTCATGACAGCAAAACATGATACATGAAGGCAGAAAGCATGCATAGGTTAATAATATTTCCTTTATGGCATGGAGTGAGTACCGTAGAGATCATGTTAAGGATATCAAGTGATATCTATTGGGTGCTGTCAATATTCATTGAATAAGGTGTCTAGAACATGTTAGATATGACACCACATTTCCTCAGTCAGCTTGTGGTAAACTATGTTAGTCATCCGATAATATTAGTGAGCATCCATCTTCCTTCTTAGCTCGACTAATCTTACAGGTTATTAGTAAATTGAAATACCTATTTCAAAGTAAGATACCAATGGACGCTGAATATTTCAATCGATTAAGTAGTTAGTAGAGAATCGTCTTAAGTTCTGAGTGTAGTGAACCAAGTAATTACCACTGGTTGACTTGAAGAACAAAATATTGTGAGCATTGATAAGATCGAAACAGGATTTCTAGAAGATAGATTCTGAGGTGTACCTTTAAGGCATGTTTGCTGGTGTAGAGATTAGTTACAATAAATTTAGGAGTGGCCAAGATTTGACATCAGTCCATACAGTCATGGATTATTGGATCAAACCGTGTAGGTAATCCTCACTACCTGGTCGAAGTTCACGATAATGGTGGCCCGTGGTTGGAGCAGATCCACTCACTTTCTATCTTCGCTTGGATTTCAGGATTTGGAGTAATCTTATACTTTTTTCCACGAACTCATTCTTTTTCGAGTCATATTGTCTATGCCTAATATTTTCTATTACTACTTATGCTGCTACTATTCTGCTAATCTGACATTTGTCATGGTGACTTGAACCGGTGTATAAATTTCCCGGGTTTTATGTTCTTTATGACTAACTGACTGAGATGTTTCTTAATCCTGATATGGCTTCAGAGATTATCGTCTTGTATTATCTTGCAGTGCTTAGCCACAATGGCGTCAAGTCAGTTATAGAGATTTACAGAAACAGTCATTTCATAAAATCAATGGAAATATAGAGAGAAACTAGACATACAACAGCAAACTATTTCAAATAATTAGTATCTAAATCATTCATTTAACAAACAGATAAACAAAAATCGCATGTTTATTAGGTGTTTATTAAGTGCTTACACGTACATAATATCAGAGTTCTATACTGTAAACACTTAATAAATAAAAATTGTTCTTACCATGCCTGGGGATTATTGATTTGTATGACCCCCAGAAATTTTCTTGCTAAAATTCGTGCCAAGTCTGTTAGAGAACGTTATATATATGGTGTGATTTGTAATTCTATGAATATTTCTCTCATCCTATGTTATCTACATTTGTTGGAATTATTGCTCTCACAATTTCAATTGACCTATGAACCTATTCGCTTTAATATTACATGTCAATCATTTCAACACTGAAAATATTATTCAGTTCGAGATCTAGAAACTAAAAATTCTGTTATTTCCATTATATTCTATATTGACATAAGATAGTAATGTACTCATTAGTGACTGGCTTCAAGCTGAAATTCCTTGAATCCTACAATGAAGCTACAACCAGTGGAGTTCAACTATGTCGAGTATGAGATAGTTATCCACCGAAGCCAATCAATGAGGGTTGTGTGATTCTATGAATTGACTGAAGCTATACAATAACACGATTGGATGCCATCTCAGTGATCTCGAGGTTAAATGTTTGTGTAAGATGTGAGATGATGGATTGGATTCCATGTAGTAGGATTATTTCTGAATAGTGATGCAGAGTTTCATACTAGTACGAATCGGTTATTCAATGCTTCCTTGTTTTGAGTGGTAGTCTAACTAAGATCATTTAGAAATCTAGAAATAGTGCTATATTCTTAAGCTGTAATTTTCAAGAGATATTTTCGCTTTTACCGTGGTCATTAATTATCATTTTAAACCTAGTGAAAATTTCTAGGTAACAGTATTGTATGCTCTAATATCTATTTTGTAAAGAATTCTGATTGAATAAATTGTATACTGATTACTGGTGTGCTGGGTATTTTTAAAACTTCTTTTATTGTAGTGACTAAGTGAGATTTTTGGATCGAAAATTTGATTTGTAAAGCAAAATATTTCGACGGCAGATTTTTTATTGTTTTGGGTTTCATTTTTAAAAATAGATTTTATATGCCATATTTGCGTTTTAATGAAGTGATGTTATTTCCGACATCGTAGTTTATGTACATTTGAATATTTAACATTTACCTGGTTAATGTATGTCTGTCTACTTGTCATGTGTTCAAACACTTTCAATAATAATAATAATAATGCTAATAATAGTAGTAATAATAATAATAATCCTCCTTTCATCCTCGTACCTCCGCCTATAGCTCTTCTAGGGTTACCACCGCTTCCAAGCTAGGGTAAAGGAGGAGGGTTGGGTATGGGGTCAGCAACCACATCCCATAGAGAATAATCTTTCTAAAAAAACCCAACCAGAATAACTAAATTCAACCACTTAAACTCTACCCTGGGAGTTGAAGGAAGAATTATAACGTCTCATGATGAAAGCCGATATTCTTCGGAAGTCATGAGGCCGATGACAACTGGATGGACAAAGTACAAAGGTTCAATACAGCCTTTCTATGAGATATTAACAAACTCGACGAATTCAAGATAACTCAACAACAGGTTCCAAGCCTTACAGGACCTACTGAAAGAAGAAGAAACTACTACGGAGGACAACTGGAAAGGGATCAAAGAAGCACTAGCTTCAATGTGTCAGGTAGTACTAGGCCTCAACAAGGATCATCATAAGGAATAGGTTTCTATTGAAGCCCTGGACAAAATTCAAGAAAGGAAGAACATGAAGACAGCAATTAACAACAGCCGAACAAGAATAGGGGAAGTCTAGGCAAAAGCTAAATACACAGATGCAAAGAAGCAGGTGAAAAGGAGCATTAGAGTTGACAAGCAGAAATACGTGGGAGACCCAGCAACGACAGCGAGAAAAGCTGCAAGAGAAGGAAATATGAAACAACTATATGACAGGACGAAGAAACTGATGGGGAAATATAGTAAAACAGATAGACCGACAAGAAGAAGTACGTGGAAGAACTAGCAACGACGGCGGAAAAAGCTGCTCGAGAAGGAAATATGAAACAGCTTTACGATACAACGAAGAAACTATCAGGGAAATACAGTAAACCAGAGAGACCGGTCAAGGACAAAGAAGGCAAGCCAATCACTGAAATTCAACAACAGCGGAACAGATGGGTAGAATACTTCGATGAACTCCTGAATAGGCCGGCTCCAATGAATCCACCGGACATCGAAGCAGCACACACAGATCTTCCCATAGACGTCAACCCACCATCGAAGGAAGAAATCAGAATGACCATCAGACAAATCAAGAACGGGAAAGCAGCAGGACCCGACAACATACCAGCTGAAGCACTGAAGTCAGACATCGAAGCAACTACAAACATGCTTCACCTTCTACTCAAAAAGATTTGGGAGGAGGAACAAGTGCCGATGAACTGGAAAGAAGGGCACCTCGTCAAGATTTTAAAGAAAGGAGATCTGAGCAAATGTGAGAACTACAGAGGCATTACACTACTGTCAATACCAGGCAAGGTCTTCAACAGAGTGTTGCTGAACCGGATGAAAGATGCAGTAGGCGCTCAACTTCTGGATCAACAAGCTGGATTCCGTAAGGATCGGTCGTGTACAGACCAAATTGCGACACTACGGATAATCGTCGAACAATCAGTTGAGTGGAACTCGTCACTGTACATCAACTTCATTGATTATGAAAAGGCATTTGACAGTGTGGATAGGAGG